CAGGCAGCCTGATGGGCACACTTCAAGGCTGAGTGAGAAATGTTTGGGTTGGACCCTGCAGCCCCCACTCGGTGGCTGCTCATAAAAAGCACTTCAGGGCAGGCTTGGGCAGGAGGGGAGACGGGGACAAAGCGGAGGCAGGAGGGCAGGGCCCCTCGGGTCACGCTGGGCCATGCTCACTGCCTCCGTCTGGCGTCCGACTCTACTGCTCTGCTGGCTTGCTGCCCCCAGGGCCACGCAGGGCGAGACCCTGTTCCACAGCCGGGACCGCTCGGACCTGGAGCCCTCCTTCCTGCGCCAGGCCCAGCCCGTGGCCGACCTCAGCACAGCACAGGTAGGAGCACCACAGCCCACGCCGGTGTGTACACAGGCACACTGCAGCAAGGCCCGCACACGCAGGAGGCAAGCCTCTGCATTCAGGCTGCTGCCGGGCGGGGCCACGGAACCGAGGTTCAGGACCCACAGGCTCCCGGCAGCACTGAGCCCACTTCACCGGGTGGGCGTGTGGCCAGGCCGCTGTGCGCACGGGCAGCCATCCAGCCCCGGCCGCGCTGCCCTGCCGGCTCACGTGGGTGATGACAAGAGGACATCACTGGGGGTGACTTCGTCCTCAGACCAGACTGAGGTGCAAGTGTCATCGGCTGGTTGGCAGTGACAGTGGCCTGGCTTCCAGGATGCTGGAGGCCCACCTCAGGGAGAGCCTGTCCCAGGCAAGGGCACTGCACCAAACACCCAGAGTGCATGGGGGCTAGGACAGGCGGCTAACAGGGAGGAAGCTGATGGGCGGGCCTGTGGGGGTGGGGGGACCGCCAAGAGACCACTGCCTGGGCTTCTCTCTGCAGCGCTTCCTAGCCAAGTATGGCTGGACTGCCGCCTCCCACCCTGGCACCCGGGGGCCCAGCGCCTTTGCCGCGGCCATGCGCGCCTTCCAGCGTGCCAACCAGCTGCCAGCCACTGGGGCGCTGGATGCTGCCACACTGCATGCTATGAACAGACCACGCTGTGGCCTCCCTGATCGCCGTGGTGACTCTGGCTCCCAAGACACCCCCAAATCCCAGGGGGACCTCAACCCCCGTGGAGTCCCTGGGGGCCGTGTCCGCTCCAAGCGCTTCCTGCAGCTGCTCCATCCCCTGCTGGGCCAGGAGCAGCAGCCCCGGGTCCCAGGGGCCACCAGGGCCTTTTCCAAAAGAACCCTGAAGTGGCGGCTGGTGGGCGAGGGCTACAGCAGCCAGCTGTCCGCGGCCGAGCAGCGCTACATCTGCAGGCTGGCCTTCCGCATGTGGAGCGAGGTGACTCCGCTGGACTTTGTGGAGGACAGGACCGCCCCTGCCGCCCAGGTTGACATCAAGCTGGGCTTTGGGCGAGGTGAGGGGTGCAGGCACAGCGTGGGTCCCTGGAGGATAGGGGTGGAGGTCCTTGTAGGAGGTGGGTTCCCCTAGCACAGGGTGGGGTTCAGTGAGCAGGTACTCAATCAGCCCCAAGTGGTTGAACGCCAACTTCAGGCACTGGCAGCCCAGTGGGGTGACCCCCACCTGCTGGCTCCTCTGCAAGGACACCTGACTGCTCCCTCTGGCCATCATGTCCATCCCAATCTTGGCAGCCTGTGCTTCAGGGTAGAGCTGCCCTCCAAAGCATTTCACCGGCAGACCACCAGGCCTTTCTTCCAAGGCACCTCTGGGTAGACTTGAACTGCCAGCCTCCCAGGGAGCAGCTAACTATGTTCACTGCTAGGACCACTCAGCGACACCCGACCACGCATCACACAAACAACAGACCCCACTAGGCCCACGGCTCTGGTGTGGCCTCTGACTCAAAGTTACTCCCAGGGCAGGGTTTCCCAAGGCTGTCTGTCAAACGACCCGGGAGCACAGAGTGGCTGGTGGGTTAGAACCTTTGCTCTTGCAGTTTTCCGCTGTGCCATCAGGGCACCTTCAGCCATGGGGACCCAAACCAAGCACCCTGCCATCAAATTCATTCTAACGTGGAATGGCCTTATGAATGGTTTCCACACCTGTCGGAAGACGGTCCCCTCTTTCTCCTGTGGGTCGGCTAGTGGCTTTGAACTGCCAACCTTCTAGATAGCAACACAACACTTAACCCATAGTGCTATGAGGGCCCCTGGGTCCACCCCCAAAAGAAATCCAAACCTCCACCACCAACTCATTACCATCTAGTCAAGTGATTGGTAGCGACCCTGGAGGACCCAACAGAACTTACCTCTTGGGTTTCCAGAACTGCACATCTTCATGGGAGCAGAAAGCCTCATCTTTCTCCCTCAGGGTGACTGGTGGCTTTGAACTGCTGACATTGTGGTCAACAGCCCAACTCATAACCCATTGCACCACCAGGGAGGTCACCCACACCCCCAACAGGGACGCTGCTCCCAGGACACATGGTAGGAGGCCATCTGTAGCCTCACCTGCCAGCATCATGAACAAACTCACTGACATCGGCTCGATGGGGCTCTAGAAGACAGGGTAGAACTGTAGGCTTCTGAGATTGTCACTCTTTATGGGAGTAGAAAGCCCCATCTTCCTCCCATGAAGCTTCTGGTGGTTTTGAACTGCTGGCTTTGCGGTTAGCCCAACGCATCACCCACTTCTCCACCAGGGCCCCTTTAATACATCCTAAGTGTGCTGATGGGCAGGGTCTTCACTCACTTCCTGAGCTCAGCGCACAGGGCACTGCGCTGCTGTTGGCCTGCTGCAGCAGCAGCCACTGGCCCTGCTCAACTCAACCTCCTCCCCTGCAGGCCGGCACCTGGGCTGTCCACGGGCATTCGATGGCAGTGGCCAGGAGTTTGCCCATGCCTGGCGCCTGGGTGACATCCACTTTGATGACGACGAGCACTTCACCCCTCCCTCCAGTGTCACTGGCATCAGCCTCCTCAAAGTGAGTGCCCCGACTGCCTGCCTGCCCACAATCCCAGCCTCACCAGGCGCCGTGCCACCTCTCCTCTCCAGGGGCCTCAGGCCTGCTCCTACAGCCCAGTCTCTCTCCCGGGACGTGGCCCGCTGGGATGAACAAAAACCCGATGGCATGTGCCCCCCTTGTAGGTGGCTGTTCATGAAATTGGCCATGTCCTGGGTCTGCCTCACACCTACAGGATGGGATCGATAATGCAGCCGAATTATACCCCTCAGGAGCCAGCCTTTGAGCTGGACTGGGCAGACAGAAAAGCCATTCAGAAGCTATATGGTAAGGCTGCCCATGGGAGGTCACCACAGGATGCTCACAGTGGCCATGCCCCATGCAGAGCCACAAGTGAGCACTCCCTCATGGACTCTAGCAGCAAGTGGTGTGGTCTGCACCGCCCAAGTGGACCACCCCCACCACAGCATCCCCCAAGAGCCCCGTAGGCTGGTGGCCACCAAGGACATTTTCTTCTGTCCCACGGCTGAGGACAGTGTGCCTTAGCAGGATAAGCTTGCCTCTGAGTGTGCACACCAGATACCCGTGGTTCTCAGCTTAACAAGACTCACGAGCTGGCCTAGAGCCTGGAGGGGGAGGAAGTGAGCCCCCCTGTTTCCACTAAAGATCCTTCACAGGGACTATTCCCATCTGTTCCCCTCAAGCCCCTGCTCCGGACTACTTGGCATCCTTAGAAGCTACAGAGCTGGGATCGGATTCTTTCCCCGGGGGAAGCTTGCTTGAGTGTGTGCCCAGCCCCAAGCGTCCTTCCTTAGGTGGCCCCCAGAGGCCCTGTGTGAGAGCGAGGCTGGATGTGTTGTCTGGGCCTGCCAGAGGGCACCATGGTGCAGGGCGGGAAGCAGGCCCACTCACTGCACAGAGGACCTGCTCTTCCTGCCCTGCACCAAACTCCAGCTCGGCTGTAGTGTCTGCTCCAGTCTCAGGGGAAGGTGGAACCCTTGGGTCCTGCCCGTGTGACGGGCAGGCGGCTGGCCGGTGTCTTCCAGGCTCCTGTGAAGGCTCCTTCGACACCGCGTTCGACTGGGTTCGCAAAGAGAGGAACCAGTACGGGGAGCTGGTGGTGCGCTTCAGCACCTACTTTTTCCGCAGCAGCTGGTACTGGTTATATGAGAACCGCACCAACAGGACGCGCTACGGGGATCCCATCCCCATCGCCCAGGGCTGGCGTGGGATCCCGGCACAAGACATCGACGCCTTCGTCCACATCTGGACTTGGGGGAGAGACGAGCGCTACTTTTTTAAAGGTAAAGGTGTGGGGCACGCACCTGTGCGTGTGACGTCCTGCGGAGTCCACTGCAGTATATTGGTAGTTTGCTTCTTGCTGCTTCGTGCCCACCCTTTCTCAGTCTCTCAGCACACCGCTGAGCCCATCGCAGTGTGGCCAAGGATTTGCGTGGCATGAGGTTGGGTTGGAAAGATAGGAGCCCAGAGAAGCTCAAGTGCCAGGTGAGGTGGGGAAGGCTGCGAAGTTTTCATGATTTCCCCTCTGTATGATGCTACTCCACACGCATGATGGATTTGCAGCAAAGGGAGATGCAAAGAAAGAATACCCATGTATGTGTGTATGCATATATCCTTGTGTGTTAAAAAAGCTTATCGGCATATAATTCACTCACACAATTCAGTCACATCAAGAAGGGTTGTACAATGATCGCAACTGATGTCCAAAGGTTTTTTGTTTATACTCATCGTTATTAGCTCCCCAACTTCCCCTGCCAGAACCCCAAGGGACCATTCACGCAGTTACTGACTAGATTCACATACCCTGGAGTTCACATACGGATAAAACACTCCATGTACAGATAATCCTGCTCAAGCCTCTCTATCTCCATCTATAGCCGACCTATGTATGGTCTTTCCAGGCCCTCCTGGTAGACCGCCGTCGTGGCAGGACGCCACAACTTTTGCCTCTGTGCCCTAACTTCTCCATGAGTCTTCACCTTTCCTCGCTCTTCTTCGCCCCAGACGGGGAGAGGCCCGTGGTTGCTCCTTAGATTACACCACAAGCCGGACTCCGCTATCGATAGAGTGGATGGTGGCTCCTGGCGAGCCCCGGGGGGTTCCTGAGACTGCAGTGGGTTACTGGAGTAGAGAGCCCCGTCTTTCCGAGCAGCAGCTACTGGTTTCCAACTGCCCACCCAGCCCGAGGTGAAACCACTGTCCAGGGCGCCTCTGGGATGATGTCTACCAGCCTTGCACTCTCCTCGCTGTGTCCCCTCTGCCTCTCTCACTGTGGGTCTGCTGACTCACAGCGACCCTCTAGGACAGGGCAGGACTGTCCCCATGAGTTTATGACACTGTAACTCTTTACACAAGTCTTTATCCCTTGGGAGTGGCTAGTGGTTTCGAACTGCTGACCTTGAGGTTAGCCCACTGCGTAACCACCTCCATTTTTATCGCCTTCCCAGTCACCCCTGGTAACACACGTCTACTCTCTTGCCAGTAACTTCCCCTCCCACCCGGGGTAACCATCAAAGCACATTGGCTTTGCGTGGAAGAAAGCCTTGTAACTTTTCGCAACAGGCACCACCTAGCTCTCGAGTTCTCAGAGAGTTAACGCGGCCAGGGCCCAGCTGAAACAGCTCGGACGCAAGCCTCGCCGGTCAGAACACTGTGAACTGGCTCTGGCCGTCCCTTCACGGGCACAAGGGAAGGAGCGTTTCAGTTCGGCTGCATCCAGGAACCGCGCCAGGGCAGACTGCTAGTCCCGGTCTTCCGGGAGCACCTCCTCCTGGCTTCCACGGGCCCTGGACCGGAGGCACCATGTTGGCGGTGCTCAGGTGATCTTCATTTTAGAACTGGTCATCCTGGGCAAATCCGCCACTATAGCGGTTTTATTCCTGGAGCTCCAGAAACTTCTGAGCTTTAATCTGGTGTGAATATTTTAGAGTCAAAAGCCATGCCAGTTAGAGCGAACCTCATGTTGCTCTTAATACGGAACCTTCCCAAACGTGGTGGTGTGTGCTCGGTGGCTCCGGGACCCAACAGCTGTTGGTCTTGGGGGGGGATGTGAACCCCAAAGCTCACCCAGTGTCCACATCCTGCATGCTGCCAGTATGCCCAACAGTCAGGCTTACGGAAGTGTCCCCGCATGTCCGAGCATGGGGCTGGCATGTGAACTCCCAGGAGAGGCCACAGTAAGAGGAACAGGCTACAGATAGTCCACTTGGTTGGGATTCAAGAGGCCTGGCTACAGCCTTGCCTCCTCCTCTGCTGTCTGAGGGAGCTACTGCCACCTTCCTGATCTGCAGAACCGGGGTGGGGAGACAGTGGGACTGGAGGATTCCCAGAAGGAAAGGTACAATCCCATCCTTGCCAACTCAGACTCACTCAGAGTGACCCAAGTGGGCAGGATAGAGCTGCCCCTGTGAGGCTCTGAGATGACTGTGCCTCTGTATGGGACTAGAAAGCCCCATCTTTCTCCCAAGCAGCAGCTGGTGGTTTCGAACTGCTGACCTTGCCATTAGCAGCCCAGCGTGTAACCACTACGCCACCAGGGCTCCTCACGCCCATCAGCACCCTGATTTGTGCCCTAAGAGGGACCCTATACGAATGGGTAGAAGCCCCCAAGGACTTCCGACGTCGTCCTCACAGAAGCCCACGGCCGCACTGTCCTTCTGCAGCACGCACCGAGCCACGAGAGTTCCTTCCTACTGACGCTGACGAGGGCAGTCTGTCTAGACCACTCGCACGTCAGGGCGTTGCTTGCTTTAACCATAACCACCATAGTGAGTGCAGTCTGACATGGGGGGTCACGGGAGTTGGAATCTGCTTGAGTGGCTGCAAAGGACCACAGTGGTCCTGACGAGCCCCACAGGGCACCTCTGGGCTGGGGCACACTGTGGAGGGCACCCGGCCTCCTCTCTGCAACGTTGGGGAAAAAGAAGAATGCTCTTAGGGTGACTAGAGAGCTAGGCAATCCTCAGTCCGAGGGGCTCCTGTCGGACTCTGAGGGACTGACTTGTTTGGGGAGTCGGGTGAGACCCTCCTCGCCATGTCTCGGGAGACTGACTACGGCCCGCTGGTGTTTTGGTTGGCTCTCAGGAAAGCAGTACTGGAGGTATGACAGTGACAAGGATCAGGCCTACACAGAAGATGACCAAGGAAACCGCTACCCCAAATTGATTTCAGAAGGATTTCCTGGAATCCCGAGTCCCCTGGACACAGCCTTCTATGACCGACGAAAGCAACTGATCTACTTCTTCAAGGAGTCCTTGGTAAGTGGGGGCTTCTTTAGCTTGCCAGACGGTTCTTCTCTTGTCCGACACGAGGACTCAAACCCAGATGAGTGCAGGCCTGGGGGCCACGGAGGCCCAACTATTCCTTAAACTCACAACTCACTGCCGCAGTCGATGCCGGCTCACAGCGACCCTGTACGACAGGGTAGAACCGCCTGTGAGTTTCTGAACTGTGACTCCTTATGGAGTTTAGAAAGCCGTTTCCCGCCTCAGAGTGGCTGGTGGTTTCGAACTGCTGACCTTGCACTTAGCAGCCCACTACATTACAGGAAATGACCAAACTCTAAGTCTAAAGGACCTGGTGCAAGGCCGCCGCTCTGCTTACGTTCTTGCTCTAAACTGACCTTGACGAGGAAGTCTGCTGTCTGCAAGGGGCGCCGTCCATCTCACCGCCGCTCGCTCGTGCTGTCCTACAGGTGTTTGCCTTCGACGTCCACGGAAACCAAGTCCTTCCCTCTTATCCAAAGATGATTGTGGACGTTTTCCCAGCGCCAGCCTCTTCCCCCAGCCATCCCCGCAGGAGCATCGACGCGGCCTACTACTCCTACACGCACGGCTGCTTGTTCTTCTTCAAGGGCGGGGCTTACTGGCGGGTGCTGAGCGACAAGGACAGGCAGCACAAGCGCTGGCTCCCGGCAAACAGCCTGTTTCCGAAGGAGCCCATCTCGGGGAGGTGGTTCGACGTCTGTGATGTCCACCCGTCCACACTAAGCATGTGACGAGACGCAGGCAGGTGGCTCTCTCTTCACTTCTCCCAGAGAAAACAGACCGGGTGCTTGAGCACAGAAAGAGCAACCTGTTACCGAAGTTAAAGCCCAAGGGATATGCAAAATTGAAACGTTTCAGATTCTTTGTTTAAAAATAAATTTCCAGGCAGTCTACTGGCGGGGGGTGTGGGGGTGGGTTGGGACTGGGGGTACTCCAAAAATTTGGTGGAAAACCCAGAATGGAAAGAGGATTAGGCTCTCCCGCCGCTCTGTGGCCAGGCCCCCAAGCCTTCTTAGACAGGGAAACTAGTGTGCCCCGTCCCACCACAGGTGGCAGGAGTGCCTGTCCCCTCCTGACTTCCGCACCCCCTTTCCCTCTGCCTGTAACCTGGGTCACCTTCCTCCCCCTGCAGAGCAGGAGCGGCTCCATCCACCCGATGGCTTATACAGCTTATCCTCTGAACTCGGGGTACCAAACGCACCTGGATCGTCCCCAAATCCGCACTGGGTCCTCTCCCTGTTGCACACACCCTGGACCACCTCTTCCCCCGGTACAAAAACAAACAAGAAAACCCGTGCTGTGTGGAACAGCGTGGGTCCTGGAGCGAATGCAGAAGCGCTGTGCTCCCCACAAATGCCAGGGGGCTTCAGCCCACTCGTAGGAAGAGTCCACTCTCTTCCATCCTGTTTTCCCACCAATGCTTGGAAGCTCCCTGATTCTTAAGAGGGGAGGGCTGGAATGCAGGCCCTTTAGGGAGCTTGAAAGTCAGGTTTCATGTGTGTTTTACAAGGGCTTTGCATCCCCCCCAGACCAAAAGGCCGGCCGGCTGGGGAAGGACGGCACTGTGCTGACCTCACATCCTCACCCCAGCTGGCGCCCGGTTTGTGTGAGCAGCCTTTCCGAGTGAGGACAAACGGTGGACGCGTTGGGGACGTGCTTCTCCGTGGACGCTGGCTGCTGGGCGGCAGGTCTGCTTCACAATGGAACGTGCACCGGGGCCTGTGACTAAGTTCCACAGTGTCTGCCACGCGGCTCCACGGCAGACACTAGCCCGGTTGGCGCTTGAGCTGTCTCCATGAAAGGGGGACGCTTGCACTTCCTGCTTCAGCCAGACCTGGTTCCGGGAAGCAGGCAAGGCAGGCTGACCCCATTCCCAACAAGGTCACACACACAGACCAGGCCCCAATGGGAACAGGTGTGATTGGACAGACGCTACCTTGTTTGTCGATGACGGCGGCCACTGCAGCTGGGCCCTCGGACAGTGGGTGTTGGGCCACAGTCCAGTGGCTGCAGAGAGACAGAAGTCCCTGGAAGGCAGCCCTTCAATTTCTGAGCTCAAATCTTTACTCTGTCGAACTCATTAGAGCTCTTTAATTTCAGGCAAAACTCCCGGTGAAGCATATGACAGGAAGAGGACAAGACATTTAAAATAAATAGTTTATTTATTCAAAATAGCTTTCTTACTTTATTCACAGTTCTGAGTTTAAAAAGAACTAAATAAAAAGGGTAGTACCTATTCTTGATCAACTGTCCTATCAATAAAATCAGAGAAGCCAACCCCTTGGGCACATGGGCCAGGTCCAAAAATGTCTTGGACCGGGCACAGAGTGGGCAGGGCAGCCTGCGGGTGTGGGCCCCAGGAGGGGCTCTGCAGCGGGCAGGCGCACTGGAAGCCTCTGGGGACAGTGAAATCACTGGGTCAACATTCTACTGGCCAAAGTAACATTTTATCCAAAAGAACCCAATCTCCGCGCCCCCGCCCAGCTCAGCACACTTTGAAACCTGAAGGGACAAGTACCGGAGCCAGTCTCAGGATGAGGGGGCATGCACACCACGACACCCAGGTGGCACCTGTGAGTCTGACTGAGAGCCACACCTGAGACCACCTGTGGCTGATGTTCCCCTCAGTTGGAGGACGGAGCCCCTCCCCCTCAAGTTCAGAAGGCACTGACAGCGTTTCTGGGGATGTCACGGGGCAGTGTTGCTGCTGCCACTGCCCCCAGCCCCATGGGCAGCGACCTGGTCCAGCAGGTGGATGACAACGTTGACTCTGTGCAGCAGGCTGGCGTCCCTGTTTGCAATGGCCCGCAGGAGCTGGGAGTAGATCTGCTTGTTGTTTTTCAGGAGAGGGTCTTCCTCACTGTTATTGCTGGTGCTGGACACGTACAAGTCGGACAAGTGAATGGAGACCCCCGCTGCACTGCACACAAAGTCTTCCACACACAGAAAGGGCCCCTCAGCTTGCTCCACACCTGCCCTCTCCCAGCTAGTGCCTGTGGACCTATTCCTAGACATTTTGTCAACACACTCTTTGTACACATACCTGTAGGCCTACTACGTACAGGAAGTGCTCGGGACAGAACCAGACAGACAAGGGCCTCCTCCTTCACTGAGGCAGGAGTTTGGGGGGCAGGGTGGAGGGCACAGAAGCAGAAGGTGAGAAGAAATGGGAGCTGGAATCCTGTCACATCCCCCCACCATTCCCACCCTCTCCACATCCCCCATCCTTGTGCACGCTCCTCCAGGCCCTCTGACAGGAGCCCCATTCAGTACATGGACCCGTCTTTTCTCTTCCTCGAAGGAACCTTGATGAAATGCTGCACACCTACATTTGGAACACTCGGCCATCTAAAGCGAAGACAGGTTCCCAGCACTCTGGCCTCCTGCCCCTTTAACGTCTGTCTCTCAGCCTGTAATCCGGGGGAAGGGCAGGCGTCGGCTTTTGCAGTGGCCCCCACTTTGGGAAGCACTGCTGTGAAGACTTGGTTCCCGGCCCCAGGTCAGAGGGCTCATCCACCTCAGATGACTCCTTTTGAGGGTTCCCCACATCCAAGCCCAAAGCCACCAGCATGTCACCAGGCACCCCTCCACCAGTGATGGCCATCAAAGTGCAGCTTAGAAGCAGAGCAGTGGGGTCTAGACCCACACAAGAGCCATGTCCATGTGGGCAACACCCAGGAAAGATGGTCTGATCATCCCAAAGTGGAACAAGACTTTTAAAAAACAAACCGGCCACCTCTTAATTTTCCTAGACTTCAGGGATATGCGGTAGGAATCTAAGAACGCTAAGATCTACTCAATAGACTAAGTTCAGTTTAAGTGTGTGTGCGCGTGCGTGTGCGTGTGTGGACAGCTGGCTTGTTTTGGTTTCCCCTCCTCACACCAGGGCCACAGACGGCTGACTTGCTGTCAGCGAGAGCCTGTAGGCATGTTTGTGGAATCAGAGCAGGGGGCACATTTTAAAACTTTCATTTTCCAAACCCTGAAAAACTAGCACCAGGCAGCTCCGTAGGACCCTTGAGACCACCGATTTCTCCAGCAGTCACTTGAGCAGACAGCGCTAGAGGCTCTCTGTGAACACACAGGACAGGTGGCACTCAGGCCGGGCTGTCCACGCCCACCTGTCACAGGCGGCCAGCTTGCCGCTTGGCCAGCAGGTGCCCACAGCGTCACCTGGTGGAGCCCGTGGTCAGTGCGCAGGGACAGCCTGCAGTCCTCTCCGCTGCTGCAGGCTCCTCCAGGAACCATATGGGACAGCAGCTGTGCCCAGGACATACTGAGCGGGGCCGGGCGACAAGGACGCTCTCATTAGGTGGCACAGACAGACGTGAGTGGGCAGAACCCCCATCAGAGACTGGGAGGGTGTGTTCTCAGTGAGGCACCAGGTGTCCTATGTGCTCTACGGGGGTGGGGGCGGGGGTGGTGTGTGTGTGCATGCAAGGGTGGCTGTATGCAAACAAACCACTTTCTTTCTCAGGGACTTGGGGGTCTGTGGACTGGCAGTGGTCTTAGAATCAACCGCTGTGGACTGAGGACGGCTCTATTCAAAAGCAGTGATTGGGGGTGGGGGTGGTGTCTCTGCTGAGAATGTAGAGCACTAGAAAAAGTATGGCTCCCCCCTCAGCCCCCCTCCCCTCTCACCACCACATCCCCCCACTCAGAAGTCGCCTGGAGCGACAGAGGAAACGGAATGTGTGGCCAACTGCCAGCACGGCCCAGAGACTGGATGGTACCAGCCACCAGCACTGAGCACTCAGACCGGAGAGCCCCTCACGAATTCTCAGCAAAAGGAGGGAAATGCAGAAACTTCCAAATTCTCACACACTCCAGACTTTCAGGAACCATGGAGAGTAGGTGAACCCTTGAAATGGCTGGCCAACGATAATACTGAAATTGTAAGCCAACCCCTGCACCCCCTCCCCTAGCCTTCTTCACAAGAAGCACCAGTTCAGCTGAACTCGTCCCAAGGCGGCTCTCTGAAGGACTCGGGTGGATCAGACAGGCCACAGAGCAGCGAGAGGGCGAGGACGGGCTTGATCAGAAAGGGCGTGCTCAAGGGCACAGAGAAATTGTGGATGGGGCGTGTCTGCTGTGCACGCTCCTGACAAAAAGAAACCACTGGTTTGGAGCCACAGGGCTGGGACCAGGGCGGTGGTACAGGGTGCCGTTCCCCTGGTGGGCAGGGGCAGATGCACTCAGCTGAAACTGCACGGAGCTAAGGGTTGAGAGAGATGCCTGGGGTTGCCAGAGACGGTCGCTCTCCTGAACAGGGTGGTGGTCTCCCCATCGAGCCCACCAGGTGCACACAGCCAAGACGGCAGAGTCCAAGAGTCGCCGAAGGAAACCCATGTGGTTGCAGGACACGGCAAAATACACCAGCAGCACAACAGACTGCATCCACTTAGGACGCGAGCTCTCGGCAGCCCCCGCCCCACAACAGTTACGTTTTCCCAGAGCCCATGGAAACTTGAGGGTCAGCGGGGAATGCTTTCCCTCTGGGAGTTTAAGAACTGGGAGTGGGGGGGTGGGGGAGGTTGTCCAGAAGAGGGGCTTTCAGACAGAATCACACTCATGGTTGTGCGATGGACATACAACTCAGAGAACTATACACACAGAGGATTAACACCTACGCAAAGAGCAGACTAGGATCTTTTAAGCCAGTAAAATCTGAGGGCTTCAGAGTTCAAGGAAAAGTGGAGTAGAAAGGTCACGGGTTTCCCACGAGCTTTCTGAAGCCGCGCACGCTGGCCCAGGAGCTGCAGCCACACCTGCGTCTTCTAGGTGCTCTTCGTGCCCAACGGTGTACTTGGGGCCGAGCGCGCACACACACGTTTCCCTGGTCCCTGCCGCCCAGTTACAACTCCATGCAAGCAGCAAGACACCGATGCTGTCAGTGATGACAGGGCACAACCCCACCCCCTCTCAGCAGCACACCAGCCCAGCAGAGAGGGCATACAGAAAGGCCGACAGCTACCACCCCAAACACCGCTGCCAGGAACACAACCACCAGTGGGGGTCCACCCTCGGACAGCAAGGTCCTTTCTTCTTTCTACCCTGCCATCTGTGGGGTCTACCGGAAATGCCCCTCAGCTAGCTCCTCTCTACCCGTGGGACCGACAGGGGCAGGCCTCAGGTGGGTGATTCTCAAGGTGGAACCCCGTGTAGGCATGGCTGACCCTCCTGTGTCTTCTGAGAAAAATCGACCAAGATAACTCCTTTGGAATCTTACAAGCAAACAAAACCCAGCCAGTCGGCGCACAGCTTTCTGCCCTGCTCGCAGCAGCCCAGGAGAGCCCTCAGGAGCCTCTGCCTTGGGTGGATGCCTTTTGCAGGCACTCTAAGGAGGTCAAGACAAGTGCACCACGGGGTGAGGGGTGGAGGTGGTGGATCAACCTGTCCCCTCCACTGCTGTGGAGTCACGTCTGAGGGCCGTGCACGGGGCACCCTGGATCAGCCACGAGAAGACATGAACGCGGCGGCGCATCGTGTACAACATCGGCGGAGGGGAGGTGCGCACCTTTCACAGGTGAGGTGGCGGGAAGGAAGGTCATTTACCTTTTCTTCTTCGTGGAAGAGAGCAGCTTGATGTACTGGAGGAGGAGGAACGACAACCGAGACTCAAATATGTCCAGGAGCTTCGTCACTTCTTCTCGGTTGCGGTTTGGAGACGAATCCATGGCGGGGGCGGGCTCCGCACCCTCAGGCTGGAAAATGAAATCGGCTTTTCACCAGAGCTTCCTGGGAACTCACGGCTCACACCCAGGCACCCCTGGACTGCGGGCTCACCGTGCACACAGACCAAAGAGGACACACACATGGCCGCTGAGAACAAGACGCCCCCTCGTGGCTCTGCAGGGGCAAGCCTGGCCCTCTGTGGACAGCCGGCTCCTCCTTTCCCAATGTGAGGCACTGAGGTAGCACACAGGGACCAACCAGTGATCAAGCCAGGGCTCGGAGAGAACCAGTCAGCATTTAGTAAACACTGGTGCGTGCTGGTACACCCCCCAAACTAGAGCCTACTCACTCCCCATCCACACCGCTCCCGCTCCCGGTATGGTGCGTGGACGGGAGAGAGGGGCAGGGGGGGACAGCGATTTTACACCCTCAGCCCCTCAGGAGCCATGGTTTCTTTTTAAAAAGGTCAAGGCACTCTTAAAACAGATGTATCAGTCAAAAAGTATTGCTGCACACCAGAGGCCCCTTGGTTAAACAAAAACCGCAGCATGGGAAGCTACTGCGGGCTGACAGTCATTCTTCACACAGGCCCCTTCCCTTCTGAGGGCAGAGTGCCCACTTCTCTAGGCTTCCCAAGGAATGCCGCCCTCTTCCACCCACACCAGGTCCACAGGGCACCTTGGGCCTCCTCTGAACTGCGCGCTGTGAGTATGGGGAAGGAAAACGTCTGACAGGGCAAGATCGGACTGTGGGGTGGCCTGGGTGAGCTTAGCTTAGCACTGGGTGCCCCCGAATGCACAAGGGTCCTGTCACGACGGGCTTTTTTCCCTACAGCCTCCTCATGGGCCCCAGGGCCCACCCTGTGTCTTTGGGACCTCAAAGGATGGCAGCCCCCACGCCTTCCCAGCTGACCTCTCGGCCTCGGACTTGCCCAGCCAGCAGAGGCCCCGGAAGCTCAGCTCGGCAGAGCGTGCAGGCTGCATTCCCCACGACAAATGGAGCGGCCCTGGCAGGATGAGCTGGTGCCCCAGCAGCACCGCTCTCTGCCTCACCTCAGGTTTGTAGAGAAACACGCTAATTCCACAGAGTAATTCTGACAAATGACTATCATTGCCTTCATGTACACACCCGCCCACTAGGTGTGCCCAGCATGGAGCTTCACGTACTCAGACAGACAGACAGACAGACAGACTGGCGCTGGTCGTTCACCTGGTCCGCCTCCTCCGTGAGCTCCTTCCTGAGGAGCTGGAAGGCAGGCTGACTTTTCACCAGGACGTCGAGGGCCCCAGACAATGTCTTCAACTTCCCCACGTTGCTGTTCTGACCTTGAGGGGGAGACACAGAAAGGAGAATTGTCTGCAGGGTCAATGTGGAGACCATCACGTCCTCCACAGGCTGCTCAAGTCCAGACCTCGCGGCAAACGAGCCCGCTTCCCCGGCTTCCTATTTGGTCTTGCCGACTGAGAGCAGTCTATCCCCACGGGCACCTGGACTGGAGCCACCAAGGCGAAGGGGACCAACAGAGGTGTCACCCTACTGACAGGCTACGTGATGGTCGTCACTCAGTGGCGGCTGTCCTGCAAACAAACGCATGGCCAACTGCTCAAAGGCAGGTCATACTAGATGGCTGGGTTTTGGTTTCCTCTAGAACCTTCTGAATACTGATCCCCAGCTGGGGGCATGCTGACCCCTCTGCTTCTGCACTGCCTGTGAACTGCCTGGAGGACTCCTGTGTGGAAGGGGCCTGAGGAGGACCACCACTCCTTTCCCACAGCGTTACTTGCCCACGTTTTCCATGGGTTTAAATCTTTGTCTAGACTGACCTCTACTGCCTTCTTAAATAAGGGTCGCGGCCTGTATTTCCCTCTTTTTAGTCATTGAATGTAATCTGATTCATTTCCCCAAATTGGGTGCAAAAGCACAACCAAACTCATGGTCGCTGAGTCTAAGCTGCCACCCATGGAGATCCTACAGGGCAGAGTAGACGACTCCGTACAGAAACAGACAGCCTCATCTGTCTTCCCCAGTGTGGCTGGGGGCCTCGAACACAGACCCCCTGCTTAGCAGGCTACGGTTACCCCGCCAGACCACCAGGTGTTCTGTCTCCTAGCCCCTGCCCACAGCCAGGAACTTTGAACAAATTAAAGTGGGGGGGGGGGGCAGGTTTGACAGTGACATTACTTATACCCAAGAGCCCATGAACAAGCCACAAGTGCTGCCTCGTGTGACCCTGAGGAAGGAAAGAACAACATACTGGCCATCTGGAACTCCGCGAAGGCCACTCTCTCCAGCTGCACTCGCAGGAGCTCGCAGGGGGCGTCCTTCAGCAGCTGGAACAGCCGCCCGGCCTTGCTGTAGTGCAGCTCTGCCAGCATGCGGTGCTGCCGCCGCAGGTGCTCGTCCCCCACCTAGAGCAGGAACACGTGTCCTGAGGCCGCTGCCCAGGCTGGGGGGTTTTGGACAGGCTGTGGCCCAGCACTACTTGCTAGAAAGACTGTTCTTGCGCCGTTTCGTCAGCTCGGTATCTGGAACTTCCCTCGGCCCTGAAGGCCTCAGACTCTCTGGCCATATGGCTGGTGACCCGAGAAGCACCAAGACCAGCAAAGGGGGCAGAGGACTCTCAGGAAGTGGCTGGGAGCCGCCCACAGGGTGGTCAAAGCAGCTGTCCTGGTCTGGAGTTAAAAATGGGGAAAACCCGAACATGAAGAAGCAACCAGACAAAACCCATCCCCAATAAAGGGTGGGCCCCTCAACCCCGCAGCTCTGAGCAGCCTCCTGGAAGGTGGCCCCTGCTCAGTTCCAGGGAGCAGGGAGCAGGCTGTTCACAGCAGACAGAGCGCCACAGCCCTTGGGCTCCAGCCAGTGAGAGCACTCTCGAGAGCTGTTGAATGACCACTCCTTAGCTGGGCACACGAGCTGTGACACTGACGCTGATGGGGACAGGCAGCAAACCAGACAGGTACGACCCCTTCTAGGGAGGTCACGGGCAGGCAGCATGTACACACGCTGCTTACTAGGCAAAGCACAGCAGGCGTGGGCACGGTCCACAGACTAGATGGCAGTGGGGTGGACGGGTGGAGGGAGATGTGGCTGGGTTGGTGGGAGGGCACTGGCAGGCACCTCTCACATGGCCCCCATTCTGCCATCATGCACACAGGGACTGGTCTGGTTCTTCAAGTGCACACTGCACAAGTGGTTTCTGTGCATCACACGCCACAGGTCCCCAGACGCTTCCGAGTACCTGGTTCCGCAGGCAGCTGTGGTACATGGAGGCCAGCCGGTGGTGGATGGTCGCGGCCCGGTACTGGCAGAGTGGCTGCCGAGTGGAGGCTGAGTCCACATCGCAGTACTTCAGGGACTTCCTCATGGCCTCGCTCACCTCTTTCTCGATCTGTGGGGGTGGTTTGTTTTTTTGAGGAGGGGAAGAAGAAAATAAACTGAGTCTGTGATCTTAAATGTTATGTGTTTTTGCTATTTTCTTTTTTTAATCATTTCATTGGAGGCTCACAGAACTCTTTTCACAATCCATCCATCCATCCATCCATCCATTGTGCCAAGCATATTTGTACATCTGTTGCCCTCATCATCCTTAAAACATTTGCTTTCTGCTTCAGCCCTTGGTATCAGCTCATTTTTTCCCTCCGTCCCTGTTCCCCCCTCCCTCATGGACCCTTGATAATTTATAAATTATTATTTTGCCCTATCTTACACTGTCCGATGTCTCCCTTCACCCACTTTTCTGGTGTCCACCCCCCAGAGAGGTTATATGTAGATCCTTGTAATCAGATCCTCCCTTCCACCCCACCCTCTGCTATTCTCTAACACCACTGCGAAAGGAAAGGCGACCAGGGCATGACAGACACGGTGCTGTCGACTTCCTAAGTGGTGACAGGCACACCTGCTCCTGTGCTTTCCTGGACACTGGGGCATAGTCCTGCCGCAGCTTCGCCATGGTGAAGTACGTCGTGGACAACTCCCAATTCACAGAGTCCCAAACAGCAGGGTGTCTTTCTCGTGTCCCCAGTGACCTGAGAGCTTTCAAATAATAATCGGCAGCCTGCAGGGGAACATGGGGCGTGAGTGGAGAGTGTACCTATGCTGCACCCAGACATGGACACACCTTGAAAAAAGCCAGGTGTCCTCTAATTTGGGGAAAATGCGGACACCGACACCATCAGGAGGCAGAAGCACAGCAAGGAACTGCAGGACAGATGTCCATCCACCACCAAACCCAAACACACCGCCAGTGGCAGCTCACGGGGGAGCCCATCTTCCTCCCCATGGGACGATGAGTGGTTTTGAACTGCTGACCTCGTGGTTAGCAGATACCACTCGTTATAAAACACCCACTTTAGCGTTACAGTACTTTACTGGAGTGATGGCAGGGTTCGTGGCAATTCTAGGTTTTACCTTATTGTAATACAGGCCTTCTTCCGGCGAAAACTCCTGTCTGAATTCATCGCCGGCCCCACGGTGCGCCTGTGCGCAGATGCGCATGAGCCTGCCCGTGTTGCACAGCAGCAGCGCTATGTTGGTGGCATCGTCGATGGACTCAAAGTTGTGAATCCCCTTTTCGAAACAGGAAAAGCTTTTTTTCCACAACTGTTGCTCTGCAGCAGACACGCTTTTGCTCACTTTGCACCAACAGAAAAAAAAAAGGGGGGGGGGAAATAATCCCATGAGCATGTGACAACATGCGGCCCGAAAACAGAGGGGTCCCTGAAGGCACTGCTGGAGCCCTGTACCCGCCCACCAGGCAGGTCCAGACCACATCCCAGCTAACACACAGTCGATGCCATCTCATAGCGACCCTGCAGGGCAGAGTGAACTGCCCCCGTGGGTTTCTGAGACTGTAACCTGCACAGGAACTAGAGCTTCAGCTTGTTCCCAAAGAGCAGCTGGTGGTTTTGAACTGTTAACAGTGCAACACATAAACCCACTGCGCTACCAGGGCTCTAGACGGACGGAAACACACAAGTGGAAATGGACAACATGGAAATGATGGGCCTCGGAGAAATGAAGCTTCTCCTAATTTCATTTTCCATCAGCAACAGAGAACAGAGTGCCCCCTGACCAACAGAAAACCCAGCATCCAGCCCCGGGCCTGCATGACGCCCACCTTGGCACACTCCGCACAGAAGAGGTAAAGAGGGGCCTGGGGTACTTACCTACCCTCTCGCTCTGCAGGGCCGCGGCCTGGTTCATGTAGAACACCCCGATCTCGTTTCTGACGTTGCCCATGCGCTTTAAGACTTGCACACAGTGCTCAGGGTTCTGGCCCTTCAAATCACTGAACTGCAGGATCTCGTGTGCAGCCTCGTAGCACTTACAGCTCACCGAGAGCTGGCTTTCTAAGTCTGTCGACAAGTCAGTTGCCCACGCGAATCCTGACAAGGGAAGGCAGAGCAGCGTGAGCGGCCCTCGATGGCGGAATCCGTGGACACAGCACAGACCACGGAGCGCACCAGCAACACGCAGATGCATCGCAACACAAACACCTGCAGGCTCTAAGTGACGAGAAATCTGATGCAACCCAGGCAGACTGAGAAGTCAGGGAAACAAGTAACATTGGCTTTCACAGAAATCTCTCTCTACTTACTTCTGACACCCTGCACTCTGCTCAGGCCGTTTGTTTAAAAGAAACCCATTTCCCCCCTAAAGACCACCCAGTTCCCACCCCAAGACTGGGCAAGGCAGACACCAGGCCACGGCCTCTCCAGCGACAGCGGATGGCTGCCTGAGCTAGTCACACTCCGTCTGACTCATCACACTGACATTACTGAAGCAGCAGTGGTAACTTACTGCGGCTGCCACCTACTGGGATGGGGCCCAAATTGCATGGGGCAAGGCAGCCCCCTGCTCACACCAGAGCCCACAGGAGGCAGACCCCCACTCAGGAGGTGTCCTGAGTGGAGCAAGTGTGGGGGCGTGGTGAGCATGTCCCGAGGATCTTCCCACGGGTGTCTAGGAAGATACAAGGCCACCCGCCAAAGGGCAAGAACCAGGGGAAGCTCTGACCTAAACCAAACTCACTGCGACGAGTCAGTGGGGGGTGGGGGTGTGTGCGTGGAGCTAGAGAACAGGAAACCTGTGGAGGTAATGTCTTTCTCCCAGCAGATGAGGCAGACAACTCCAGGGCATAGTGTACGACTCCCCAACATGTTCAGGCTTCAGCCCAGGGACCAGCTTAGTGGCAGGCGCTGAAGGCAGGCCACTGAGCTGAGGGCCAGGATGCTGCTTGGGGAGAGACTACCCATCGCCTAGTTCCAAACCGAAGGTCCCCGGTGAGACGGCCACTGGCTCTGTCTCCCAGGCCCGGGACCAGCAGGCAGTTCATCAACCTGCACTGACGCCTGCTGGCTGGCTGCCAGACACATGGCACGGAGAGAGCGAGCACAGAAGCAGCACTGCGGGCCCAGGCTGGCTTTAGCGCCTGTCCTCAGCATAGCTTTGAAACACTTCACACCACTGTGCCCAGACACGCAGCCCGCACCTTGGCACGGGGACTCTCGGTGCAGACTGTGCAGGATCTCCTGGTCTTCTCGGGTCTGGTAGTTAAACTCCTCGAGGTGCGCGGCGCGGTTGCTGGAGTTCTGGGCCAGCATCAGCTGGATGTCTCCGCAGAGCGTCAGGTACTGAGACAAGAAGAGCAGCACTTCCGAGAGCATGTTGGTGCAGAGGCAGCAGTAAGTGTCTGATTGGGGACGGAGGGGAGAAGGAAATGACACAGGTCTGGAAACCCACCGACCCAGGCAGCAGCAAGAGCACAGGCTTCAGTAAAGGCTCTGCCCCCAAGGCGCCTTCAGTGGCTTCAGTGAAGCGAGTGACCACTCAGGAGAAAAGACGGTCCCGTGAGGACCACTGTGCGCAGAAAATGTCGGGTTCAAGTAAGTCTTCACGAGACGCAGAGCTCAAAGCTGGCTGTGCTTTATGCTCCGCACCCCTCACCCCCTCAGCCCGTGATCACGGTGGCGGAGCCCATCTGATGTATGTACAGCCAGGCCCCGCCTGTCCCCCACTCACCGTGGCTCTGCAGAGCCAGTTTGATGTACCGCAGGGCCCTGCCGTACTTCTGCAGACTCATGGCCGCGTCCGACAGCACGTAGTAGGCCTTGGAGGACTTGAGGATCAGCTGGAGCTTCATCTTGTGCTGCCAGGAGCCCGGGGTCATCCCGGACTGGCTGGAGCAGTGTCCCTTCTGCAGCGAGCCCACTGGGACAGGGGGAAAGCGGTGTACGTCACTTGGGGGACACTGCCCCAGAAACCCAGCATTTCTGATTCTTACAGATACCCTCTGCCCGTGAGTACGGGTGCCGTACTTACTAGTGAGGGAGCCTGTGCAGGGTTAGTGCTAAAGGCCACAAGGCCAAATGGCGTGACCCTCGTGTGGCCCCTCTGAAGGCTAGCCTCACTGTAGCCATCTCGTCCCTCTTGCAGGGGCACTGAGAGCTGGACGCTCACAAAGGACACCTCGTCCTGTCTCTAGTCTGGGCATCAACCCGCCCACACAGGCCACCACAGCACAGATTCTGTCAGATGGAGGCTGCCTGCGAGGTACCCCGTGGTACCACCCCTCCATCAGCCCAGCGTCACCCCTCATCTGCAGTCTAGCTGTCATGACCTGCTCTGCCAGGCCCCAGAAGCCAGGTCACGACAGTGCCCAGCCCAGCCTTGGGGAGGGCACAGACTGGAGGTGGGCTATGAGCACACCGCAGCAAAGCACACCCTGTACGGTCAGGTACACAACAGGCGGAGGCAGGGGCACCTGGGCTCCTTTTTGCCAGCCAGACGGGGAGTTTCCAATCCAGGCAGGCGCGGCTACTCGCCGCGGATCGGGTTCTACTGGGGCACTTTTCCGGGGGCTGAGGCAACGTGTTTTCTCACGGGCACATTCAGATCGCCCTGGCGGAGGCACTGTGAGAAGATGAAAGCAGGCTTACTCTTGTCCAGAAACAAGGCCATCTGCTTCTCCAAGCCCTCGGGCCCACCCCGCGAGCACTCGTCTCCGTATTTGAGCGGGATCGGGGTGTTGGGGTCTGCTGCGGGAAGGTCGCAGTCTTTCTTAATGCTGCTGTCCACGGATTTCAGACCCTTAAGAGAGGAGACACC